CTAAACAGAAACTATTTGCAGCCAGATTTGGGCTAATCATACAAGTCAAAGGGCAAGACATAAAAAGAACATAGCAAAAGTAATGTAAGTGTTTTCCAGCTACACTACATGCCTTTGGACAAAGCATTTGAATGAATATTGGCTGGTGTGGGTTTTTATTGCCTAGGCTTTTTTATTTTATAACAGTAACTGGAGATAATTTCCAGTGGTCCTTCCCATCTTTCCTGTGACAGAAACTGGATTCTGCTGCTTTTTGAAGTGTGTGTTGTTTGGTGGCTGGGGTAGGTGAATGGCACTCTTTTATGACATTTTTGAATCAACATTTTATTATTCACTGATCATTTCATGATGAATTAGCAGAGATCTTTGTACTGAAAAGAGCTCAGGGGAAGATGCCCAGTGCTGGGTCCCTGCAGCCTCTAAGCAGTCGAGTAATTTTGACCCACTGCCCTCCAAACACAGCTGAGAGGATTTCTCTGAGAGTTTTGATTTGTGTTTTTTCATAAAAAGCCTGAAAATGTAGAAGGAAAATGTGAAGAAAAAATCAATTAAGTATGTGGCCTTCTGTGCTTTAAGCTGCAGTCTTCTGCAGGTGGCCCTCATGCTCTCTGCTCTGAATAATCTAGTATCATCTTCAGTTCTTACCGTGTTCTGCCCCTTGTTTGTGAGGTCATGTAGGAGTGAGATGAGCTGCTCCTGTACTAGCACAGATCCCTGTGGATCCTACCCTCTCTTCCTACAGGATCTCAAAGCTTACTCCTGCTCTGCCTCATGTCTCTTAGTCTGTTTGGGGATACACATGTCTCTGCTTGTTTTCTGACTAGGCCAAATTTTCATATGAATATGCTGTGAGAGAGCTTGTCCAAGTTGGCTGGAACCCCCAGGGTGCTGTATCCAGCAGTTCCATGTACAGATGTGCCAGCAGGAAGCCTGGGGGGCTGCATTTCCTGGTGCAGAAAACCAAACATACCAGGGCATATTGTACTTATTTATGTGCTTGCTCAAAGTGTTATTAAATCATCTGCTAATTTTTCCTGGTGCAAGCCTGCGGCTTCACACTCGTATTCCCCTGGCTTGCCCTGGGACCCTTTGAATGTTGGTGTTACATTTGCCACCTGCTCTTCCTCACAGATTTTAAGCACTTTTGAGCAGTGAATTACATAGCACAGCAAGGTCATATGATTCACTGTTGCCTTCCTTTAGAAACCAAACTGCTCTTGGCCTGGTGTTACTTTTCATTTGCTTTGCTCAGTGCATCATGTCTCTTAATATTATGAATTTTTATGGGACCTACAAGGCATCCTGCATGGAGAAGATGCTGGCATGGGGACCCATCAGAGTCCTTTCATGGCAAACACAAAAAGAGGGAAAAAAAAAATTAGGTTTTGTGCTGCTACCTTATTCTCTGTGAGCTTTTTTTTGGTAATTTATTTATTTATTATTATTATTTTTTGCTTTTATCATCTCCTGGCCCTGCAGACTCCCTGGCAGGCTTCCTGTAACATTTCTGTTTGAAGAAGAATCAGTTCCTTTTTTTTTTATTTAATTAATATTTGTGATAACATCTGCAAGTTTTGGCTTGGCTTCTTTTTTTTTGGCCTGTCTGGTGGTGGATTCTCCTGTATTGAAACACCTGGAAGTCTGCTGATACCAAAACCAATAATTAGGAGATATCTTATCTCATGAGGAAAAAAACCTAAATACATGTATGCATTTTTTATCTTAGAGCTGACAGGATCTCCTTGTTTTTTGCTTTTCATCACCTACTTCTCCCAGAGCTATTTTGTTCTTCACTTGGAGAAGTGGCTGGTTTTTGAAGGACATCTATTTATTCTGAGTTACCTGCCCTGAATGGCTGCACAGATTTGTCTTGCCCTTTCTGAAGCCCATCTCAATAAAACCCCCGTGTGCTTATTCTTTACCTTCAACTGAGTGGCCGGAAGCAGTTGGGACCTCTGCAAACACCTTACTTTTTCAGGGGTGTATTTTCCATTCTTTTTAATGAACTTCCACCTTTTTGTGGAGCTCCCTTTTGAGGTGGAGAATGACAGTGACAGGGTTTTTTTTTTGTCTTTTCCAAGACTGTTGGATCTAACCCACAATGGAGGCTGTCACAGACCCCAATTGGTCATGTTTGCCCACTCTGCAGAGGTGTGAGGAGGGTCTACCTCCTCTACTTCAGTCAGTACCCACCTACTGCCTGTATGTGACTGTGCCCTGTCTCTCTGAGTGCTGAGCAAAGCTTCACCTTCTGGTCTGTACCGGTGTGATCTGCTGCCCTTTAGTGACAACTCCTGAGCATGATACATGGAACAGGTTTGGGGCTGGGGGCCTGTCCCAGCCTGGTGGGCTTGAGGGAGCCTCAAGGGCTTTGCTGCCAAACATCACCATGGACTGGGAGATGTTGTGAGCACCTCTTTGTGCCTTTTACCTTTTAAAGTGCTCAGGAATGAAAGAAAGGAAGGAATTCCCTATGTAACAATCATAGTTATTACTGCAATTGATTAAAGCATGTTTTGACTACCAATTGTTTTTCATAAAGAGTACATTTACACTTCCTGAAACAATCCTACATATGTTTTTATGAATCCATTAGCATCCTTAATGGCTGCTGCTTTGTGCAGCAGAACTGTTTTCCTAGCTCTAATTTAGGTTTGATGAAACAGATACTTGCATTACCTACAGATCATTAAAACAATATGAAAGTACCTTTAGTTTTGCTTCAAGGCATATCAGCCCATTTAAAACAGCTTTGAATTATCCCCAAACATTTCAGCAAATTGCCACTGATCTTGCTGCATAGTATCTTCTAGTTTAGGAGCAGCCCATTTTGGGGTGTATCTAGTACTTGGAAAACCAACTTTGATTAAATTAATAAATGTTCATTCCACCTTTCATTCGTGGTTTTCCTGTGCAGGTCCCTTTGGCTTCATGGACTGCTTTGGTTCTGTGGAGTCAGTGTTGTGGTGTCCGATTAAATACCTATTGTTCAAGTAGAACCTGCTTCATTTCCAATGCAGTTGTTCTAAATGTTGCTCTTGAGCTCCTCCCTGAGTTGGAAAGGAAAGCACACAGCCTTGCTCTCTGAGTTATGTATCCCACAATTGTTATTGGAGTGTGGGTTTGGCTGTTGGGTGCAGCCAACAGGTTGTGACTGGCAAGGCCAGACCCACTGTGGTCCCTCCTGCAAGACTCAGCCTTGCAGCTTGACCTGCAGGATTGGGAATGGAAAGTTGAAAGCTTTTTCAGTATTAACAAATAAGATTTTGTTGTGGTTATGTTTTTAACTGCAATGTAGATTTGTCTGAAAGTGCTAAAGTTGATCTGTAAATTTAAAAAAATAGCATTTTAGTCTTGAACAGTTTTATGCATCATCTTACCTGCCAGCATGTAACTTTTCTGCAGTCCTAGAGAATTTTAAAAATTAAAACATATGTCAAATATATCTTCTTCTCCCTTTCTTTATGCCTATTTTGAGCCTGTCTTCCATGTTACATTGTTAAAGTATTGAATTTTTTTAAGACTCAGAAGTGGAAACAGGTGTGTGACAAAGGACCTTGCCTGCTCTTTGGGAATTGTGGAAAAAGTTAGGAGCAGAGAGGCAGAGTGAGGAGGCACCAGTCCTGTGTTGGTAGGCAGATGCTCTGCACCCACACATGGCTACAAGCCCTTGCTCATGAGCCTGGAAAAGCCTCCTCAGACCTCAAGAAACCTGTAAGAAATTACTTCTGGGTGGGCAGGCTGCGGGCAGAACATCTTGTGTCATTGCAGATGACCATGTGGCTACACATCCAAAATTCCAGGAGGGGGTGTCCAGTCTCCCCTCTTGCAAAGCGCCTTGCATCCATTCCTGTCTTGTTCTTCTCCTCCTGGCTCACCTCTTTCCCATCCAGGTTCATTGGTGGACACCAGTAAAGCTCTTGCAGATTTCTTCCAAATCTCAGCAGGAGGATTTCTAAGGGCTGTGCCAAAACTTGGGCAAGTGTGGACTTGTTCCTATTCCTACGCTAAATTTCTTGTTGCCTCTTGCAGAACAAGGAACGTTGGAACTTTCCAAAGCCAGGGCTGCCAGATGAGTTGTGTGTGGAAAAAAGACATCTAGCTTTTCAGAGAGGTTATTAGACATTTTGGCTAAGCAAACAGAGGTTCCAAGAAGGAGAGGGGAACGACTCATGCACATACCTTCATGGAGTAGCTGCGTTTCTAGTTGATTAAGCAGTCAGGCTGTGAAACTGGTCTTTCAGAGTTGGGAATGGCAGCTGTGATGTTACCAGAGTAACAGAGTGGATTGGCATAGGGAAGCAGAAAATATTCAAAGCAACAGTGAGGGATAGGTGCTCTTGGTAGGTAGAGAAAGGTTGCTAACTTGGTAGCTAAAGAAGCAGGCATACAAACACTGAACAACCTGAAAGCCTGCAAATGTGTTTTCAGGCTTTTTGTTTCTACATTTGCATGCAGGATCACCCCACTTCGCTGTAATGGTGGAAATTATTGCAGCATCCACACAGGCTTTTCAGTGTACCTGTCCTTGAAATGTCTGTACCTTGGCTTGAGTTTCTTTTGCAGTACATATTTGTATATCACAGCCACTCTAGGTCCTAATGATTCTCAAATTCAATTTGGTTTTATTTTCTTTTTTAAAGCGTTTGCTGTATTTCACTGTTATGATGATGTCTGAAGTGTCTGATTCAAGGGACTATTTATAGTGGCATAGTCAGGCATTTGTTTGAACATTTGCAAGCTTCCTTTCCTTGAAGATGCTATTATAGTACAAAATATATCTAAAAGAAAAGAGATTGCTGTAGAAATATGAAAGTCACCCATTTAATTTTGATTTCAAAAGAGACATGTGCTGGAACTATTCTTACATATGAGCACTTTTTCCCCTGCGGTTTTAGCAAATGCCTTTCTCAGCGAGATTATTTGGTGTTAAACCTAGAGATTTGCTTTACTAGCTTTCTAATTTTTCTGTTTCCAATCTGTCTGATTTTTCATTTCAGGCACGTGTGAATCCCATCAGTGTCACTCCACCCATACAAGCCATAGATCAGGACCGAAACATCCAGCCTCCTTCTGATCGACCGGGCATCCTCTATTCCATCCTAGTTGGTTGGTGTCTGCTACTCTTGCTATCACTCACAATCAATCACTTTCTTATGACCAGCCAGAGAAAGATTGACTGGGAGAGTGGGAGCCTAATAAAAAATTCGTCTTGTGGTTAGTGGGATGTTTGAAATCGTTGTTCTACCTGTTTATATTTAGTTGCAATTTGAAGCTCATGTGGGGTGGCTGCATTACTTACTTTATTTATTCAGATTAGATGCAGAATTGCCTGGTCTAGCCAATGAAGCAACACAGCAAGGAAAAGGAGAGAGACTTGCCTGTGCTCACAGCTATGCTGTGGTGTATTTTTCATTCAGAGGTGCAAAGGTGCAGTAACAGGTGCTAAAGGAAGGCAATTAGAGTGGGTTTCCTTCCAAAAGTCTCCTGGCACAGAGAGACTCAGAATCCTGCTGCATCCACCTTTAATTTTGCTGCCTGTGAGCCCAGATGCTTTCCCTTGGGATTTAGTGTTTGGGTAGTTTACTCTGCTGTTCTCTGGCCAGGGAAGGACACAGTTCTGGGAAGAGTTCAGAGATAGGCACTTTGGGGGGGCTGTCTTCTATTCTACTGTATATGTTTCTTTCCTGCAACTTTCCTGTGTTTGGCATTTGTTTCCACTTGTTCATCTTGTGTGATTTGATAATGGAAAGGCCTAAGGCAGTAGTTTGCAGTTGCAGTCCTCCACCTGCCCTCATGCTCCCAAAGTACAGAGAATGATGTTGTAGTAATTTTTTTTGTCCTGTGAGTAGCAGGGGAATGGGAAACTGTGTGTTGGGTGGAATCACCTCATTTTCCTGTTTGCTCTGTTAAACTGCAGCTATGTGGAAGTAAAGACTTTAATGAGCAGATTGAAGAGTTTTGCTTGTCATAAAGTAAAATAAAATAAAAAAATAAGTATATTACAGTTTAGTTGTGAAAGGGGAAAAAATAGTAGGTTTGATATGTCTGTCATTTTCAGAGCCATCTTAAGAGGCTAGAAATGAATCACTACTGTACCAGGTACCGTATTACTGAATGGTCCTGAGCTCTGTGTGCAAAATGCAGGAGCCTGAACCCACCCAGTGTCTTGATGCATTTCCAGAGCTCTGCTCCCAGGACCATGCTAAGGGACACGGCTGTGGCAGATCAGCCTGAGCACCACAGACCTCAGAGCCCTCTGAAAAGAGGCGAAGTTTTGTTTGGGTAGTCATGAGGCAAGCTAGTTTCCTGCATGATTCAAATCTGGCAGACCAAGTGTTGCTGCCAACAATTTGCTGTCAAGTAGTCCCCTTCTAGCAACACAGTTTCATAAGGAAATTTGTAAGTATTGTAGAGTAGATGTATGTTTGAAAATTGACTTGGTTTATTAAGAAATTGGCTTGGCTGATTTATAAATTCTGCAATTGACAGTTATGCCCTAGTGCAACATTTAGTCTGTATCTTCTGGAATTAACTTAGCAAAAATTGTGTTCACTAACCTGTGATATTTTTAATATTTGAATGACTGTTTGACCTCAATTCAGGAAGATTTATTATAGTAATTTGGGTTGGTTTGGGGGATTTTTTTCAATGAAAAGGCTATCTCCTCTATTTATTTTTATTTCATTTTTTGCATGGTCCTCAATTTTAGATTTTAAATCTCTCTTCATCTTTGCTAGTATCCCGTGCTGCTTTTTTTTTTTTGTCTTTTACCTCAGAAAATATAAAACAGATTCACGGGAAATAGGCCTTACACATACTTCTTGTTATATGGATTTTTCCCTTGCTTTAAATCTATACGTAGTTCTTTCTATCTTTGGATATGTCTTTTTTAAAACCCTGGAAGGTCTGAACTATACCTATGGAATGAAAGAATAAGCTGCTTAACAAGTATGAGGATGATTCTGAATTTTGTTTGATTGTAATTTGTTGATTCTTTTACCCTTCCTTCCTCCTCCCACTGCACACTTGTTCTAGCTCAGTCTTGCCATATGCTTTGGGCATTAGGGATGTTATGTATGAAATCTGCATATTTTTATCAGTGTTTTTAGGATCTTTTAATCAGTGCTGCAATAACCCCATTCTACTTGATGTGTCTTGCTAACCTGAGCTGTAAGTGGCCATAAAGATCTCTGCTTCTCACGCTTTCAAGCTAAGTAGCCTTTCAAGTGTTCTGGCAAAGGTCACAAACTGGAACACAGAAGATTCAACCTAAATGTGAGGAAAAACTTCTTTATTGTGAGAGTGCAGAGCCCTGGGACAGGCTGCCCAGAGAGGGTGTGGGATCTCCTTCTCTAGAGACATTCCAAACCTGTCTGGCTGTGTTCCTGTGTGATGTGCTCTAGGTGACCCTGCTCTGGCAGGGGGGTTGGACTGGATGATCTTCAGAGTTCCCTTCCAACCTCTAAGATTCTGTGATTCTGTGGTAAAATGTCAAGTGATGTTTCCAGTTATGAGAGTACAAGTGAACTCTCTGGCTCTAAGAACAAGAGATTCCTCTGCATTTCATTGAAAAGGAGCTAGCTCCCTGCAGGAGGTAACCAGAAGTGCCTGTGGAAGTCTTGCTGCATGTCCACATGAGCATAGCAGTGCTGGGGGGAAAGCACTTTAGAGATGAAGTAGCCACCTAAGTGTGTTACCAGCCTATTATTTTGTACTTTCTTTCTCATTCTCACCTCTGAGTGCAGTCCTCTCAAAGGATGTATCAAGAAGTCTGAAAAAAACTGATAGCACAATAGGAAATTAGGTCTTAAATATTCTTTAGGGTCATCCTCAGATAGGAAAACTACTTGCAGCATAGTGCTTCTGGGATTGTTGTCTTCAGTTTAAAGCATTGGCTACAGTACATGATGGAAGAGCTACATTCCAAAGTACTCTAAAGTACTTAAGAGAAGAGGATTGAACTGAGGCCATGCTGTAATATTTAATGTCTTGTAGTGTTTTTTTTACATTTGGAAACGTGATGCTTGGAATGTCTTCTAATGCACTGATTTCTCCAATCCCTGGCTTTCAGGAATGTTAGTATGTTTGGTTCATTGCAATAGACCCACATACAGTGTCTGGTGTGTCACATGCATCAGGAAGCCCTTTGCATGGAGTGGGTGTGTATGATAAAAGGGGGTAGAAGCCAGCCCACCTCCCCTCATCTGCAGTCTCACCCTGTTTTTTTTACACAGTGCTAGCTGCATCTCCACCTTGTGCTACTCTGGTATTGACTGCTTAGCTCTCTTTGAAGGTTTCCCCTTTGCTGTTTTTACTAGTAATTTTAAGGCTTTCTGTTCTCTGCAGCTGTTTCTTGGGAACAGTCAACTCTTCCTTTAAACCCTCACCTTCTGCTTTTGACCCTGGAACTGTCTGTGATTTCTGCTGTCTTTTCATCACGTCAGTGTTCTATTTTTTTGGGCAAAAATCACATTTGGGGGATTTTCTCTCCAGTCCAGTGATCTCCCTGGCACATTTGCGTGGCAGGCAACGTGTCCTAAAAAAAAGCCCTCCTTTGGCTCCAAGAAAAGCAAGCCATAGAGTGCTCTTCACCTTGTGGGCACTCCTCTGTGCTGTAAGATCATCAAGGTAGAGGAGATCATGCTCCCTCCTGGACTGTCATCTTGCTGCTTCTGTTGCCTTGGCCAGAAGAGTGCGACCAGAGGCCTGTTGAGCACTCAGTGCTCAATTTTTGGTGTAGATGGTGCCATCTTATCCCTGTGTGCTCAAGTATGGAAAAGAAACCTCATGCCAGTCTTCATGTGCTGTTCTCCTTTCCCAGTCAGGATTCAGGCATCCCAGATGTATTATGTTCCAATCTTTATTTTCCTGATTGTCCTCCTTGTCTTGTCCTCCTTTATTTGTTTTGTTTTATTTTTTCTTGTATTCTTTCCTGGCATCCTTACACAATATTAACTTCATCATCCCTGCTCCCTTCATGCCTCTTAAAATTGTCTCCATTCTCCCCTATGTATTTGTTCTCCTTATTTTTTTACTTTTGCATTTGGTCCTTCATTTCTTGATTTTTCTTAGCCTCAGCATCAACCCTTATGCTGTGCAGCCTCCTGAGACTACAGCAATCTGTTCCCTGCCAAAAACTTGGAGCTCTTTCTGGATGCCTATTGCTCTTAAAAATTAGATCAGTTAATTAGGAGTTGAAATTAAAAAGGGGGGAAGGGGAGGAGGACTTGGAGCTAGAAACTGCTTTTATGTTTGTGGTGCAATAGAAAAACTAATCCATAGTGGTTCTTCCTGAAGTTAGTACTTTCTGGATGTATAGCATACATATATACAGGGATATTTGCAGAATATGTGTACATTTATATGCATTATATATATATATATAGACACCATCTATATGCATAATATACTTACAGTATAACAAGTGGTTGTTCAATGACGAGTTGCAAATTCAAGTATTGCACATGAGTTTGGACAATCATCTATTTCCTGGGATAGCTACTGGCTTTCTAAAAGCAGTTTCTAATCATTCCACTTGAAAGGTGAACAAATCATAGCATCATTTATCAGAAAAGCAGGGGCTTTTGTGTTGAATCTTCTGCCCTTTTATAGTGTATTGGCATGGCAATATTTGTCCTGCTCTCTGGGATGCTTTAAGATGTTGTAACTCATCAGCTCAGAAGAGCATTTATCTCATCAGCCAGGAGTGCTCTCTGCCTCTCAGCTGCTACACAGGACTATTCAAAGATCTAAAATGACTTGAGATCTTAGTCTGGTAATCCGTATTTTGGTTTCTACAGATACTTTCAGTAACACCACTAAGCTCTGGGGTGCCTGAGTTCATGCTGGTTCTAAGCACTTTGGCTTTCTGAGCCCTGCACTCTTCAGGTTTGTGCTTTCACGTCTCAGGGTCAGGCTGGCTCAGGGAAAGTCAGACAGTGAACCAAAAAAAATAATAAAATGCCATGAGTCAGAGAAGCTAGAGAAAGCAGATATAGTTTTATGCCACACAAATGAGGAGAGAATGTACCTTTGTCTTCAAAAAAACCCAAAAAAACAACAACCAAACAAAAAGGTGTAGCTTCTGTTCCTTGATAGGCAGAGACTGATTCTGAACAGTCAGCCAGGGACAGGATGAGAGGGCCTGGCCTGAAGCTGCTCCAGAGGAGGTTTAGCTTGGGTATTAGGGAGCACTTTCTCATGGAAAGAGTATTCAGGCATTGGAATGGGCTGCCCAGGGAAGTGGTGAAGTCACCATCCCTGGAGGTGTTCAAGGAAAGGCTGGATGTGGCACTTAGTGCCATGGTCTGGAAATGTGGTGGTGTTAGGTCATAGGCTGAACTTGGTGGTCTCAGATGTCTTTTCCAGCCCAAATAATTCTGTGATTCTCCGATTCTTCTAATGGGGTTGGAGAGTACCCAAAAAACTCTCAGCCATGAAGACACTATTTGCTGCTGACAATAAATGGAAGCTGTTGGGCACAACAGAGGTTTCATCTGGTGCTTCCTCCTTGATAAGAAACTTCTTCTCTTGGAAAAAAAATCTGAAATAACTTATGTGTTGTTATGTTATTAATAATGCATTCAAGAACTTGCCGACAGGTGCAACAGGGCTAGAAGAACATTTAAAATATGTGCATTTTAAATTGCAAATCTCAGGGCATCTTCTGTGAGCAATAACGTGGCTATCATGGACCTAGCAGTAACATTTTTGTTACGTCACTCATTGTGTGTTTTCTTAGTTTAAATGTGTGCACTCAAAAACACTGTTTATAGTGTTTCTCTGCTGACTGTGTCCAGAGAATACTTCAGGGAAAATATACTTCAAAGATGAGAAAGTCTGAGTGGGCTGTGTGTGTAGCAAGGCGGGTGTCAGGAGGGTGGTGGTTACAAGAGAAAGCTGATTGCAGTGAGAGCTCATTTCTCAGTAGCCCTTTTATCTAGTTAGATTCAGATATATCTCCTGGAAGCTGAGAAGCAGATTTTCCACCAGCTGTAGGTATTTTGGGCTCCTGTTGTTATCAGGTACTTAGAATCTTCATGGTTAGAGAGAGTAAGGAAATAATTATGATACTAGTAGTACCCTCAAGCTCCATGTACACACTATGCAGTATTTTATCCTTAGTAGAAGGATTAGTTTTTGTACCTTTGATGACTAATGAGTAAAATAAATACAATGCTTGTTAATCATTCAGAAGCAGCATTACCTGAAACCTCAATGTTTCTTTTACAGGTACTCCTGAGGATTATCCACAGTATTTCCACATGAATCTCACAACAGCTGAACTCACGCTCCTAAAGCCAATAAATAGGGATATACACCAGAAGTTTGACTTGGTCATTAAGGTAATTTTGGCTGAATTCTTATCTCCATATGCTTTTGAAAATGGCTTAGGAAAAAAAAAAAATAGAGAAAATGTGGGGTGGGTTTGCTTGTCTTTCCTGCATTTTTCTTTTTTAGCTTGTCAGGCATCATTTAGCTCAATCACAGGGAAGAGGGATCAGTCCCTGGAAAGGGACTGAATCATGGTAGAGTTCTGACATTTCACACTATATTGGTGTTGTATGAACAAATGAAATACCACTTGGATATGTGCTTTTTACAAACTCAGAGTTGTCCTGAGAATGTATTTGTTTGAATTACCATGTTTTTTCCAGTTCACAACCCATGTTAGAGAATATATAGATACAAATAACTGGGTCCTGAATATTGGAAGCAAGGAGAACAAAAAGTCTTCTCCACATCTTGTAGCAGTTTTTGTGTGCTGCAGTTTAGGGGTTTTTTTTTGTGTTCAGGGATGATTCCAGAAGGAAAAGCTGCTCCCTCCAGAGCTCTGCTACTGAATCAAAAGAGAGCTTCTGAAACATACACAGTGCTGGTCTCCTTCAGCTCCTATTGCTGGGAAGGGACAGAAACCACTTGTGTGGGGTTGGTCTTTTCGAATCCTACCATTGAGGAGGAGAGCTGGCTTCCCTCCTCCTTTGTACATAATGGTTTGTCCTTAATTTTACAATCAAAACTAATAAGGGTCTGCAGTTCTTAAGTGAGCCCTGTGATCAGAGCACGTGTCAGTTGTGAGGAGTGTGTCTTTGCAGAAAAGCTCAAAATGCATCTTCATCTAGTTGCCAAGTCCTACTTTCACATGCATAAAATAGTTTCAGTAGTTGCTGTTTTCTTTGCCAATTTGAGGATTAAGAGGTAAAGAATAGGAGGTGACAATATAAATATTTAATTGCTAACTTTGTTGAAAGTAGTAAGCTGTTAATTTTACTTTGAGCAAAACTGTACAAAGCCATAAGCTTTGCTGGGGATGAAATGTGTGTGAACAGACTGCTGAAGTCAGCTCAGTCAAGACAGTCTCTAATGAAAAGAGAGTAGAATTACATTTACTTCTTTTGGAGACAGGCTGGAGTCATCCCTAAAGCTGTTGTCTAATGACACAGAAAATTCTGTAGGTTTGCCTGTAGTTACTGGTAAGCAGAAGAGCAAATAAAAGAGAAAGGAATCACTATCTTAAAGTAGTAGATCACTTGCGTATTTATCAGTTTATTTCATCTAGAAACAAGAGTGGGCTTTCCAAACTGCAGTGTGTTTTTATATAGAGCCCTTGCTGTTTGTTTGTATTACTTAATCTATTCTAAATGCAAGGCTTGCTCTCATATGGTAGGAATTATTTGTCTCTCCTAGCCCCCAATTTTTTGGGCATGTTAATGGTGGCGCTGGCAGCAGACACTCCCTTTGGCAGGAACAGCTCCTGCTTTGCCAACCTATGGACCTCTTTGAAAGGGTGTGCAGTAGTTGTTCTAGCTCCCTGCCTCAAAGCTTTTGGCCTGTCATGCAGTCAGAGCGAAATGCTTCCTCAGAGAAAATCTGAGTAGGATTTTGTTCTTTTTTTTTCCCCTTCAGAGCAGAGTCAAAGGTCAATCTTTCAAGCATTTGGGAGTAGGGGGAGCAGTGATCCGCACTTCTGCTCTCAAAATAGAGAGGCATGAGGAACATATACAAATATTTTTGAGCAACCTGGGTCCCCAGTTGTGCCTGTGCCTGGCCATGCAAAAGCTGTCTGGGGCTAGTATATGTGTGATTTGTAGGAATTCTTATTTATACTAACTCTGAGAATATGTTAAGCGCAGCAGAGTTGGGGACAGATTTGCAGGCTCCCTCTATGCATCTGAGAGAAGGCAGCAGTTTCCTTGGAAAGATGGTAGTAAGTTTATTTTAATATACAGGTTGCTTCTGTATCCTCTGAGGATCAGAACTGATGATAGTATGATAGAAAAGGAAATAAAATGGCAGCTTATAAAATAATTTAACAACTCAGCACCTTTTAAAATACTTGATTTAATTTCCTGCTTCAGTTGATTATGTGTGCATCAAAGAACAAAGTTTGTATTTGCTTAGAGTGAAATAGTGTGTGATTGGATTCTGTTATAATAATCTGGAGTTTTGATGTGACTGGGACAGATGAAGAACCTTATGGGGGCTAATATCTAAATAAATATGCTAAGAAGTTTGGGGTTCAAGCCTTGTAGCTCTTGGTTTGGTGTTGGTTTTGTTCCTGTCAAAATCCAGCAGCCATAAAAAGCAGCACAATACATCAGTTAAAGAAATCAATTGCACTGGTCTGGTACCACATTCCGTGTGCCTAAATAGCAAACTGTTGGTAATGGAAATGTTTATAGGCATTATTAGGTTCATATTGCTCTGTTATATGTGCAGTCAAGGGGATAATAAGGAAAATTATCAGTCTGTAAGAATGATAATATGCCACCTGCTAGAATAATAAGAGGTTTTAATGCTGTGGGTTTTGGGGACCTTTTGAACTGCTATAATGTCTTGTACAAGATCAAATCTTCAGATTCTTGTTTTGCACATTCCCAGGCTTGCATTGCTCACAGTGTTGAATCCAATTCAATTTTATCTAGAGGGGAGCAATGTCTGATGTTTCTCTTTAAACAGAAAACATGCTATTTTTGCAGGACTCGCTAAACTTAATCATTAAAATATTCCCTCTGATATCGGGCAATCAATATTTTTTTTTCCCTCCCAAAATATTATGAAAAACAGTGAAATGGAAAAACGTGGTTAAGTCAATACAAGAATATTAGAATGCTTGAAGGAAGGCAGACAGGAAATTGGTGCACTCATCTGTGGTAGCAAAACTGCATTGCTGATAAATGCTGAATTCTCAAACAGGCAGGCTATGGAAAGAGCTGAAATTTTTAATAAGGAATGTTGGTTTTCAGCCTCCCTGCTGTCTCCAGAAGATATATCTGATGATTAACAAAGAGGCAAACTTGCTGGCCCTCCTAGGGAAGCTCCTGTCATTTCTATTCACTACAAAGCAACAGGGGCTTTTACAAAACGCATGCATTTTCTGGTGTTCCATTGAAATTCCTCTGTGGCCACTGCAAGGCTGCCACAATAAGCATGCAGGTTTAGAGTCTCTGAACTGAAAGGGCTCTGCAGTGCTGTTAATGTTGTAACTAAACATGTAGCCTTTGTGAGGGCTGTGAACACTGAATTGTGAGTGTCCTTTCCCTTCCCCTACTGTTGTTTCTACTAAAAGAGAGAGTTCCTGAGATGCAAAAACACGCCCCATAATTCAGGACGTGGTTTGGTGGGTAGGGTGATGTTGGGTTGACAGTTGGCCTAGATAATTATAGAGGCCTTTTGTGACCTTAATGGTTCTGTGATTCTCTAATTCCTCTTTTGAAATCAGTTACTGCTTTTGAAGCAATTTGTTTATAAATACGTGTGTATGTTGTGTGAAGATTTATGTCCATAAAGGTAGGGCCTTGACTGTCTCTTTGGAGAGCAGACAGTGTGGAGAGAGAACACTCCTCTCTGGGGTCAGCAGTCCTCCTTTACAGAAAGTAGTTGCTGGAGAAATCAAACCAAAGCTACAGTGAGAGGGAGAACACTTCAGCAACCTCAAAGGCTAAGAAATAATTACATCCTTGATCTTTGGCCTGGCTGAAAACTCTCTTGAGATTCTCAGTAATGTAATAAACCTATTAAAACTACATTTCCTTAGCGTTGTCAATAGGGAAGCTATCTCTCTTCTGAAGGACAAAGACTTGTAACAGGAAGGCATGTCATCTTTGTGGTCCTCAATAGAGATAACGTCACCTCTGATACCTCTGTCCTTGTAGAGGACATAGCTGCTTGAAGAAAATGGCAGCAGCTCTGATCACCTTTCTGGAAAAAACATCACCACTGCACTGTAGACATGTTACATGTTAACTATGTTCTTGTTATTAGCTCTAAAATGTGTCAGTGAGTTTTTGTATGTATTTAATTGAAGTGTATATACCATCAAACAAACAAGGAAATTAATCCCATCAATTCACTTTGATCCTTTCCTATTTGAACATTGGTATTTTGCCAATCAGACAATATCTCACCTGACAGTTCTGTTAACATCAATTTGCAAAGTGGATGGACAACTGGAGGGTAGATGTGCTTACACTAATGAATGGATATGCTGCACTACAAAGGAATTTACCACACCTGTTTTGTTGAAATGGTGTTTACAACACCAGATTTTGTTGAAAATAACTCATGTCAGGTGGAAATTTACATCACAGGGACTTGTGTGTGGCTTTCGGAGCAGGCTGAGGAGCTACAACAGAGGCTCTCAGTCTGGCATGAAGAACTTCTATGTGGATATTTGGGGAAGAAATTTTCACTTTATAAAGCTTGTGCTTTATGAAATACTTTGAAACATCATGACTTCTTATATTATTTCAGCATCTTATAAAGCAAAAAGTACTCCTCGTCTAAGTAAACAAGTAGCAGTGTTATTTACTGTGATAACAGGAATTTTGTCAACTCTGTTAAGACCGGAGGTGCTCCTCCTAAAAATATGAGTAATACTGAATAAAGGAGGTAGGGAAA